TGAACGCGATTTCCATGACTTCGTCAATAGCGAAGTTGAAGAGGAAAGGTGACAAGGGCATCCTTGCCTCACACCGCAGGAGATATTAAAGGGCGACGACAGCTTGCCGTAAACCCTCACTCTGCCCGAGCTACGCGCGTATTATGCCCGGATAATATTTACATATTTCTCAAGTACACCTTTCCTGAGCAGACAGTCCCAAAGTGCACACCAATGCACCAAGTCGAATGCACCTTTGATATTGAGCAACACGACAACGATGGGCCGCCAATATAGGTGACGGTGCTCCAATAACTGACGCAAAGTGAAGATGTGGTCAATACAGCCACGATCTCGACGAAACCCTGCTTGCACTTCACGATTATGGTTATCGCGAGTGCCAGTCAGTCTGCGAAGGATGACAGAGGTAAGCAATTTGGAGGCGATGGAGATCAGACTGATTCCTCTATGGTTGTCGCATTCCGATCGTGAACATCCCTTGAAAAGTGGGACTATGACGGAACGGCTGCATTCGGTTGGGACAGTTTCCTGCTCCCACAGTTTCACTAGCAACACGTAGAAATCCTCCAACAAAGCAGGTCCCCGAATTTGAAGAAGGCTGGATGAAGATCATTCCGCGGGTATATTTAAGTTCAGCAGTCCGATCTCACTTTTGACTTTTGGGCGAGAGGGTGTGTTCAAAGAGACAGCCCATGAAGCAAGGCGATCACTGGCCGGTGAAAAATCGAACAATTCCGAACGATTAAATTGAATTGCAATGTGCTCAGCCCAACGCCCCAAGCGTGTAAGTTGTGGATAGGACGTCCACTCTCGTCACGTATAGTTTCCCAAACACCAGGTCGGCTGTTGCCCGTTTCCCGTATCAGACGGAATAACTTACATGGTTACCAAGGGCAGCGGCCACTTCCATTTATGATGCACGATGAGACCACCAGGATTCGTGGTCTCTCTTCAGGCTAGCACGAAGTTTCGCCCGGAGCTCTTTGCGAGTTTCATTTTGATCGCTTCCAGCCGGAATATGTCGGTAAGCATCGATAAGTTCTAGAGACCGCGAAGAGACCCAATGCCCACGTTGGCGATTAGACTTACCATATGAGGGTTTTCCTGCTGCTAATAAGGTCTGGTGAATATGAGACTTGTGAGCTTCAATTGCATCCAGTACGCGCTTAACTCGCATATCAACGTACTTTGTTAGGCATTCAGAAGAGCTGGCTTCGCCATTTGACTGGTGTCAATGCGCTCACAGTCTCGTCGTGGGCGCCCGCCAAAACGCATCCGCAGGTCAGCACATACAAGTGCATGGTCGGTGTCCACACATGCGCGCCAAATCGAGCGACAGTTCTGGACACAGCCTCTCCAGCGGTAATTGATTGCAATGTGATGGAACTGCGTCCATAGCAGGGCGCCGAGTCACCCTCCGACGGGTGCTGTGTCAGAAATCAGTGCACACACAAATAAAGTAACCGCTCACCGTTACTATTACGGGAGCCTACACCATGTTGGCCGCCCAGAGGCATTTCATCAGTGGACAACTTTCCAACTTGAGCCTTCAGATCCCCAGCCAGCACAACAGTGTCCGAACTTCTTTTGTGGCGAAGGAGCTCGTTCAGTTATCGATAAAAGTCGTCTTTTACCGAATCATCGCTAGAGTTTGTGGGTGCATAGGCAACGATGACGAATAGACACCTGTTAGTCGCGTGCGGCTTCGAAGATTTGAAAGAGCCAGCCAATCGGACCTCACACAACCGGCTACTCATTTGAATCCAATCAACCAGAGCAGCTTCAGCCCGGGGACTCAGGGCAATACCAACACCAGCTTGGCCGGTGCTCGAAGCTGCATCGTCACCCGATAGGCGAAATAAGTGCTGTTGGTGTCACCTGAAGGGGATCGCAAAGTGAGCACAGAGCTCAGGCAGGCGGGTCTCCGATAAGCAGCACATATCGAGCGTGAGGGTCTCTAATGTTCGGGAAAGTGCTGCCTGTGGACCGATCTGTAACAATGTGCGTATACTGATGCATGCTAATCTGAAGAATGATCGAGGACTCCTGATGGAAGCCGATGAACTGGGGTGGACCGCTTGCTTGGATATGGGCTTGTTGACAGGGCAGGAATGACGCTCCACGTTCACATGTGAGTTGAAACTAAAAGGCAAAAGCCTATCAAAGCAAGGTAGAGGGCCAAGAATTGGGGAGTTGAAATCAAGGGGATAAAAGTGAAGCTGGAACGGGACGGTAGGAGCGAAAAAGCGTAAGAAGGGGAGTAAGAAGATGGGTAGGCTTGAGCAGTAGCATCCAAACCCCTATCCACCTTGCTGATGCAGCAGATAAGGCAACGTTGATCATCCTCTGCGGTGACCAAAGCATCAAGAAATTGTTTGACGAAAGATTCGGGGTGTTGAAGAATCAAGAATGGATTGAATTCTTCCCCGTTGGGGATGTAACCCATGATTGTTCAAACGAAATCCCAGATATTCAACGATATCAAAAAAGAGGACATTTAGATCCCTTGAGTGTCAGTCTCATCTGAAGGCGTTTCAAGACTGCTGAAAGTGCTGTCAGATGTTCGTAGTCGGTACGACCAGTAAGAAAAATGTCGTTGCCAAGAGTGCAATAAGGAATATAAATACGTTGAAATAAAAGAACATAGATAAGCTACCTCACGACAAGATGAGACAACATTCATTGTACGTCGGATATTTTCATATGCCACAAAGAGGGTGAGTTAGCAGAAAGCATCAGCAGTACGCAGTACTGACGCTTCACTGTCGTCCAACCATCACCAGCCGCATGTGGATTAAAGATAATCCGAGGATCACCCGGTCCCGTACGCAGGCACGAACCCGCGACACTGGGATTACAAGGCAGGCGTATGATCCATAAGGCAAAGGGCCGGAAAATACCGCGTAAGTATAGGATTAAACGAAATGGAGCGCTGACCACAAGTAACAAATGATTAAACGGCGTAGGGAGTGGCGCCGAAATTTGAGGACAGCGATAGATTCGGATGAAACGACTCGTATCCACATCAACACTAAAAAAAGGGTAACGATAAAAAGTTAGCTTATCAAGTAACAAGCAAATACACTTGTTGCAACTTATCCCGACGCGGGTTAGTTAAATGGGCTTGGGATAACTGTTGGAAAGCAGTCCCGGGAATAGAAACCTGTACAGAAAGAATGATTGAAAACTGTTGGCTGCAGAAACCATTGCAACGCTCTGGGTGACTGCTTATTGTGTCATTGACCGTCTCAGAGAAATACATCTGGGAAGTATTTCGGCCACTTGGAAAACATTTTCCAGTACATGCCTAATATATGCTGTTAAAGCAATTTTACTGGTTGTAAATACCATCTACAATCAGCAAAGTTCAGTTCCCAAATCGTCATAACGCAGTCAGCCGGTGGCCGAGAGGACTGCGCGCTTGGGTAGTGATTCTGAGGTCTGGGGTTCGAATCCGCATTGGTGTGGGTTACTTCACCGTATATTGCCTCGCGCGAATTTTGCTGGCCACGGGGCAGCGAAGTGTCATTACGGTGTACCGGTAAACTGCTGATACCATGATTATTTTCCTTTCAAAACGCAGCACTGAAGACGCAAGTTTACATCTACAGTATTGTAGGGACCGAAATTCGTCCTCAATGAGACAACCAGAGTACGATAGCCGTCACTAAGATGCAGCCTATCGGTCACACGAGGGGAGTGAAATTAAGTTCAAGCGGGAGAGGAAAAGTAGGTGAATCCTATGGATGTGCAATTGCGCAGGCAACGCTGATCCGGGGTAGATTTCGGGGAATCGGTTTGTTTCCTGAGAATGTAGAGTGGGCACGCGTTTATCACGCCACGGTCAACCAATCAATGTCCACGTGTCCTGCACCAGCAGTCTGCTGTGCCAAGCAAGTGTAATAGAGATAATACGAACGCAAGAAAATAAAATGAGGCAGACAACGCAAACTAGACATTGGAAATAAAGACAAAAAAATATGGAAGATTGTATCAAAGACTGAGATGTGAAGGACAAGAGTTGTAGACGCAAAGCGCGGGCGTTAAGTCAGTGTGCAAACTCCTTATTCTGCTCGCACAGATGGACGGTCAGACATTTGGGCGTGTTTTCAGTCAGTCGCAGGGGGGAAAGTAAATATAAGGACAAGTGACGTGTTATGTCTAGATATGTTAATAGGTAATGTTACACATGTTTAGCATCGTCGTTTTTTGCCCATAACTTTTTACATACTAGTAAAATTGTAATTTCGGTCAGCGCGAGTGACAATTTGAGCGCCCTGAGTAACCGCTTTTTAGGCACCTGGCCGTTCCAATTGGACACACTTATGAAGAATTTCGGTCACTCAAAAGCAGTTTCGGTTTAGCTTAACGGCTGCAGTACTGCGTAAGTACCATATGGAAATCGATTTCCGCCTAACGTTGTAATAATAACAATGTGTCAGCTGTACGCAGTAACGGCGCTTCACTGCCGGGCGACCACCACCAGACGCGTGCGGGCTAAGTATACCGCGATGACACCCATCCCTACGCGGATTCGAACCGGGGACCTTATGGTTGCAAAGCAGACGCGCAGATCACTCGGCCACCGGCCGACAACCAGAATAAATGCAGTTATGGTAAACAGTAAGGGTGCGGTGGAAAGTACTTGCTGAGAGACCGAAATCCGTCCCAAATGCGTCCAATTGAGACGTCCAGGGGCAAATAAACTGGCCACTCATGGAGCTTCAGCGGTTACTCCTTAGGACACGTTGGTCACTCGTGCTACGCGGGTAACCGTCGATGTCAATACTATATCTTTATTAGAGTAATGATTTGCAGGTAAAGAACAGTGCTGTCAACGATGTATCATACTATTTACCATAATTATTTATTTTACGCTATTCATATGCTAATTTCTTTTTTCCCTCTGCGAATGACCAAAAGCATGCCGAAATTTGGCAACTGGCCGTTTATCAGTGCCATGGTGTAGTGCATCAGACAGTTAGCAATCCCATAATTACCTCGTTGATGAGAAACCAGATTTGTAAAACGGCAGCAGGCGACGGATGGGACACGACGTAATCAACACCAGGCCTTCCAAAACTGAAAGAAAAGGTAAAATGTGCGGAGAAACCAACATTCTGATAATCCCAGTTTTAGTACCAACGGCAAGGATCTTTTGGACTGGATCGAAAGCCATACATGATGGACGATAAGGAAATCCATGAATGGCAACCTAGAGTAGGTGTGATCGATGAACAAGTGATACCTTTCCAATTTGGAAGTTCTCACACTTAAGTGATTCTTCTATTTCCACAGATGAATACGTATCTTGTTTTGACTGTGTTGTGCTGACGTTCCAGGAACGGATCCCGTCAATAACTCTCAATAGTTTCTTGGACCTGGCGGCCATAAATCGACCTCAGGAACGTAGGCTGCGTCCGGTCGAGTATTGTGAGGGCTTCTGTTTTCGATTTGTATGTAGGTCGTAATCGACCTGTGGGGCTGAAATAAAAACAAATACCTCGTAGGCGGCTAAATGTTCATAACAATCACGTTGAAAGAGAGCACACTAAATGTAATGTGCGACTGGCTAAAACCACATGGTGAGCTGGATGCCGTTATCAAAGCTGCCGAGGTGACCGAGTGTGATCTGAATAGTTGTTGAGAATAAGCACAAATGATGGCGGTGAACGAAACAGGAACGTAAAGAGAAGCGGAAACAACAATGGTCGTCTAACGGGGGTTTAAAGACCTATTCCTTTAAGGAAGCTTTGCAAGGTCACGATCGGATCTGCCACAGGGACATGAGTTCAAGTTCAAATGGGACCGTAACAGTAGGGGAATAATGTGATCGTTCCACCTTGTAAGACGTCGTTGATCCCGGGGTGAATTTGTGGAGCGATCTGCAAGAAGGAGCCAAATCGACACATACAGTGCACTCTACGGGCAACCAAACAATGCCCACGCGCGCTGCATCAGCAGTCCACGTTGTGCCGACCGCGTGAAGTGAAGTAAAAGTAGAAAAACAAAAACAAAGCAAGTTGGAGCATTGAATGTAACAATTTTAGAATGCAAATGTGAAGTTAAAAAGGTGTAAGCACCAATAGATTAGAGCAAAGTTTAGATAAGAAGGGGAAGAGTTTAACCTGCAGACCAAGGGCGTCAAGTTGATGCTCGAACTCTTTCACCGTTGTCACCACTACTTCAGCGGGTACTCCATTCAAAGTCTATAACGGCGTGATAAAGGAGAATCAGTTCCAACCCGGTCCGAACGGGGTTTGTGCATCTTCAGTGGATGGCCCCGAAGAGTTGGTACCCGAGTGGGATGGAACAGTCCAGATAAAACAGTGCCAACCTGACCTGTTATTATGCGATAGCTGAGGATCAGGTCACCCCGAAATCGCCTGTAGTACACGAAAACATGTTTAACTTGACTAACCTCTCAGAGTACGACAGCTTCTTTAATGGAAACAAAATTTTCGTCCCAGACCGTATAACTCGTTCAACTGCCATCGTGTCCCGGACCAGGCAGAGGGGACAAACCTGTACGCAGAATTCCAAGTGTGGCTTAACAAAGGCTGTAAATAAGCTTGCGAACATTTCAGTTATCATGATCCTGAATAATCTGCGGATTGTCCATAACATGTCAAAACCTTTGCAAGCAGCTGCTATTCATTGTTCACTGGACTTAAAATCAGACGCCTAGGTCAGCTTGGAGTGACGCCCGCGACACTTCATTACCCCCAAGTAGATAGTGCGTCGGTAGATCATTTGAGCCTACTCGCAAAACTGAACATTTAGCGAGATTTATGGGCAGTTGCCACAAAACGGACCAATCCCATAGTCTATCTAGAGCCCTTTGTAGGGCCAGTGGGCCACTAAATTCATTTACTGTGGACCAGAATTTTAAATCGTCCACGAAAATTAGAAATGCCACTCCCAGCTCGTTGGGTAATTCATTAACGAACAAGATGAATAGCAGGGGGCCAAGCACCGACCCTTGCGCGACACCGCTGTGAGCACACGGATTTGCAGACAGGTTGGAGCCCACACGAATAAACACCTCCCTTTCGGTTAAAAAAACCGAAATACGTTTCAAGATTGGTCCCGAGATACCATAAGTCTGCAGCTTGTACAAAAGGTGAAAATGCGGAAGTGTCAAAAGCTTTGGAGAAGTCGATGAACAATATGTCCAGAACTATTCCCTGATCAACCGCATTGGACCAATGTTCACGGTCAACTAACAAGTTGGTAAGGCAAGAATGGCCCTTATGAAAGCCGTGTTGTGAGGAGCTAAGTAAGCTAAATGCCGTTGAGTGGCTTTCACAGGAGCTTGACCAACACGCTGATCAGGCTAACAGGTCTATAACATCTACAGGAACCTTTACTTTCAAACTAATGCGCGGTAGGTGGGACTCTCGGCAAATACGCTTGCATACCGTTCCCCATGCAGGAAAGCCTGATCAAGATCAGTGACAACAACAGAGCTGTCACGATCGAACAATATCGGGATAGACTCATATTGCGTCGCCTTTTGACTTCAGCAAATTAGCCTTTTGGGTTCGATTAGCATGTACGAGCAAGCTCGGTTTCATGGTATAACCGAGCACATCGCAGATACTGCCTGCATGCAGTTCGAACTTTTCGGTACTTTTAGAAGGTGAATGCCGAAGGAGCAGACACATAGGCACACCAACATCTGGTCCGCCTCATATGCAATTTTCGCGAGGCGGAATCAAACCAGGGTGGCCTGGCTTGTTTTATTCCTCACAGAAATTGGTATGTGAGGTAAACTCGGATAAATAAGAGTTGAATGTATCCCAGGCTTCCTGATTATTGTCGGTGTCCGAAATGACACAAGGTGAGATGGCTGCCTTTGCTTTCATTGCCATATGTTTGGTCTTCGGATAGTGCAGTCATTGGGTACTCGGTTGAAAGCGCACTTTGTTCATTGGTGGGTAGAGAGTAGGAAGGGAGACCCTTGTCAGCTCCGCTACTTCCAGTTAATTAGGAGATTAATGCTTGTGATTACGAGTCGACGCGCCTCTGAGGATCGTCGCCTTTACAATAGGAGCAGCAGGAACCCGCACTACTCATTAGGTGGCAATCTTGCAGATGCTTAAAACGTTACAGTCTGTACATCAACTAAGTTCTCTGGTAAGCTGTTCCAATCGTTCACCACCCGGGTAGATAGGGCAGCATCAGACTGGACGAAAAGTATTCTTCGTTTGTAAAGCTTCTACTTGTGACCCCGTGTCGAGGTATCCATGTTGCGTCGAGTCTTTGTAGGTCTGTCCCAAGTTCTCCCCTAAAAATCCCCTCGACGGCGGCGATACTCTAGGGGAAATAAGTCAAGTTTCTGGAGTCGAAGAGGATAGCTGAGGTCGTGAAGTTCCGAGACGGATTTCGAGCCACACCTCCGGATCCTTTCTAACAAAACACATACATGTTACGAGAGAGATAGACAGCTGGAACGCCATACTCCAAGATTGGGCGAACATATGAAACGAACAAGATTCTAACGATCTAAGGCGAGATTCGAGAGAACGGTCTTCGTAAGACACCCAGCATCCGGTTAGCAGCCGCGAACTTCCTTAGTGTGTCTGCTGAGGTCCTGTGAAACAAAAACTCCAAGGTCCTTCTCGTGGGTGACGGAATTGAGAAGATAGCCCTCGATATGATATACACCGAACGGAACCAAGTCCACAATAGGGAGAAAGGCACATGTCACGGCTAACAGGGATTCCCACTTGACGGACCAATCATGCAGCAGATCAAGTGATGCTTGTAGCCTGTCGGCGTCATCAAGGCTGGACACTTCTGACCATAGTTTGAGGTTATCTGTATAGATTAGGTAGTCAGCTTGAAGTGTCGCAGGGAAGTTGTCAATGTAGGAATTGAAAAGTTCAGGCCCGAGGACGGAGCCTTGGGGAGCGCCGCCAGCCTTAGGCACAGGTGTATCATCATCATCATCATCAACAGCAGTACATCAGCCATTTGAACTGATGCTTCGCTGCCATACAACCATGAGGACCTATGAAATAAAGAATAAGAAGAGGGAGAGAAGGGGGACTTACCTGAAAACCTTAATGCCCTAAGCAAACATTCAGGGTCAAGGCGCCTACACCTTGTGTAGACAACATACCGTCACAAACAGCTGGCTATCGTGCAAAGATAAGGCGGCATCGGCGAGACAGCTTCCTTGCGGCTTTCACTGCCCCGCGTCATAATCAGCCATTACCCAGCAGATAACTCAGCACCAAACACACTTTAAACAGACAATCCGATTAGGAGACGGCAGCAGACGCGCCACTGGTGTCGGTTGAAAGCCATATCCTGTAAAGTCTCGAGCCAAGCACAAGGTGAGTCACGTGGACTCCAACCCGGAAGGCGAGACGGACCAACGGCACCAAGTTTGGTCGTCAGTGACTTCATTTCCCGCTGCCAAGTCAACTTCTGTCCACCTCGAGCCTTGCGCCATCCTACACCTGGTAGACTGAACAAGGCCCTCCTAGGTAAGCGGTGAACAGGCATGCGTAGAACGTGCCCGAGCCAGCGTAACTTATTCAGTGTTATCTGTTGTTCTAGGGAGCTAGCATGATCATCACCACCTAGTACTCGCCTACGCACATCATCGTTGCGGACACGCTGGTGCCATCCGACACCAGCAATGCTTCGCAAACAACGATGATCAAAGACTTGAAGGCGCCTCAGATCTTCAGACCGAAGCGGCCATGTTTCACTACCATAGAGCAGAACAACCCTCACTGTGGCCTTGTATACACGGCCTTTCAGACGGAGGGAAACTCCCTTCTGTCGCCAAAGATGACGCAGGTTCAAGAGGGCAGCTTTAGCCTTTGCAATGCGTGAGCTCACGTCAGTTTCTATGCGCCCATCATTGCTGATGCAGCTGCCAAGATAAGTGAATTGATCAACCACCTCGAGTTCCTCGTTAGCAAGCGTCAAGGGGTCATCAAGTGGCTGGTGGTCCTGCAGCAACACTTTGCACTTTGAAGGTGCGAAGTGCATGCCAAATAATGGGACCACTCTGGATAGGCTATTCAGGGTTGATTGTACCGCCTCAACATTGTCGAAAAGCAAGACGATATCGTCCGCATAATCTAGATCAACTAACCTTTCGCTAGGCAGGACCTCAACGCCTACATCGTAAGGTTCCGCAAGGGAACACTCCATGATAGAATCCACGACGAAATTGAACAAAAATGGGGAAGTCGGACAATCGTGACCAACGCCACTTGTGTTCGGAAAGCTATCCGATAGGCCACCCTAGACCCTGACGCGGCCTGTAGTGTTCGAGTGTAGAACACGTTGGATGTTCACATATTTCGTGGGAACACCTTTCCGCGCAAGTATTTCGAACAGAATGCATCGATCGACTGAATCTAACGCACTCTTGAAATCGAGGAACACAGCTATTGTTGGTCTGCGGTATGCGTAGCGCTGCTCTAACTCCTGCCGCAAAGTGAATATATGGTTTATAC